ATACATAGAGATGAGCCCTCATCTTCCTTCTATGGCCTCCCTCTCAAGCGACACCTTGATACAAGGCCTCAAGATGCTCTCCTCCTCTCTAACTCTATAGTTATTCTCTCCTTTGTGGTAGCTTAAGATATCTTCTCCCTTTCCTCTTCTAAGCCTCACACCCTTAAGATTTCTTCCCTTGCTCTCCTAAGCCTCACACTCTCTCTATTTATTGAAGCAAGAGAATGGTAGGTGGGAGGTAGGTGAGCGGTAGGTGAGCGGTAGGTGAACGGTTGGTGAGATGTGGTAGGTGAGCGGTACCACATTACAAAAGTGCCCTTTTACCTTAGTTCATTAATTGGGGGTCAAAATAACAGGTTGGTACTCAATATATTGTTATGCTTGTTCATTCTTTTTGGTTGAATAAAGGTAAAAGGGATAGGAACTAAGTCACATACTAGTTTACACAATAATTTACAAGTTAATAATGAATATTTATCTATGTCTAGCAGCCAAATATTAATTTTTCTTGGCTTCAATAACGAAGAAAACTCGATCAGCAAACCCATGAAATCACAGAAGTTAGCTAACGCAAGCCAATGGATAACAAACAAGTCATATGTGAAGCCAAAAAATGGTGCATGTTGTAGTTAAACTTAAAATAGCTAATCGATGAATTATGTCCACAACTGCTATACTTTAAGTAGCAAATCAAGTCGTTTCACAATTTCATTGTTTATTCATTGTACTTTTTAAAAATTTCATATGGAACTTTTAACTTCCAAGTCCGACCAGACGTAACATACAATTCACAGAAGCAAATAAATTTATTAATGAGCAACAAACACAACAAAATTGGCAGTTTATCATATTTTTTTCGTTTCCAAATGTTATTATCTCTTGATAAAACTCTTCCTTAACACAATGAACATCAAATAATTTAGTATCCGAATATTATGCTATATTCTCGCTCACATAGAGCATGTTCGGCTTTAGGCTTTTGCTTCGATCAAGCTATTAACTGATGTTAACTCGTGACGTCAAATGAATGCCATGTAAAAGATAATTTTACACAAAGATAGGCAAATAGTACCCAAATTTTACTTATAATTTTGATTTTAAAAATAACACAAATTGTAAAGTCTTATAAAAGAGAAGCAAAGAATATGCAAATAGTGCAAGAAGAATAAATTTCTTTCCTAAAGTTTAGCACAATCATAATGTATACCGCATTCACAGAAATAAGAAGCTGTATCAGTTGGGCGAATGTTAAATTATCTTCTTATTATTTGCTCTAAGTTATTTGAATTGGATGCGAACTAAATCCCAACAAAAAAAACAAAGCTATGTGATATCTGCAAAAGAGGAGTTATTACTGGTAATTTTAAGTTTCAGTGTTTTTGGATTCATAAAGTAAAACTTACCGAATCTCATGGGCATGGAGAAATAAACTCAACTGTTATTTTTCAAAACCCAGATTCATGATACTTCCAAATGTTTGAGACTTTTCCAATGCATTTCATTAAGTAGCGGGACCAAACATATCAAGTTCTTCAATACAAAAGAAATTATGCAATGAATCAAAACTGATAAACAAACCCTCAAAATATATAAATATTATTTACACAAATTAGAAACTATAACAAGTGAGCTTATAAATAGTTAATTAAACTTACTAAACAAATACAGTGAATAAACATTTCGGATTAGGCAATTGTGTTCTTGCAAGAATACCTAAACTAATCACTCATAAGAAAACTTATCAAGGTTTATGAGAATTTAAACAGCACGAGATTAGTCACAATGAACCTGAAAGATCAAAGATTCAACCTTGCAAATCCCTTCTTGCTCTCCATTGCATAGGAACCAAGCGAAGAAGCTTTATTGACGAAGATAGAAAATGAAACAAACCAATAGCATTCCTTTAGAATTAATTTAAGATAGAGGGAAGAAGAGAAACCTTAACTCTTCCCCAACTAACTATTTAAAAAAGTATATATGAGTTGAGAATCTCAGCATCACCATGTCCATAAAAAAAAAATTGTGATAGGGTTGATTTTGAGAATATCAGAAAGCCCAAAAGGAAAGAGTACGACGAAGTAAGACCCACTGACAAAAGATCATGAAACTAGTCTGTTTATATGACCAAGTGAGAATGTCAAAGTCATGCCAGCAAGACCAAAGCCGACCAAAACACGAGGCGAACTGAAAAAGGCTAGATGATCCAAACATGAAGCGTTTAGCCAAACACAAGACAAAGAAACTTTGAGCCAACCTTTATGGGAAAATTGATCCGAATGAAGGTTCAATTCCTCGGTATCTCCAACTATTCTGGAGACTTTCAGAAGTCATTCATCAGTTATCAAGGATCAATAGCGTGACTAGATCGATTGATCAACTCATGCTGATCAGGCTCAGCCGAAAAAGCCGATCCTACCGACCGAGCTGATCCCACCTATCCGAAGCCAATTAAGCTTAGCATGTTGAGTCATGGAGCAGTCGGGCGCTAAGGTCATACATGTAATATATCAAAAATACCCTAAAATGGACCACTTAAAAGCAAGAGCTAAAATATAACATCATTATATTGTACTCTCCCCTCTATAAATATAAATACATAAATTATTTTAAGAACAAACACACACTTATTTGTTCCTTATTTGATGATGACGGGACAGCTCACAGTTTTGAATGATTATGCCTCATTCATCAAAAGATGAAACTGAAACTTTTTCAGATATAAAAAGATAATTACACTGTTAAAAAAAAAATAAATAAAATAAATAAAAAAGACTAACGGCTCTTTTTGAGAAAGATCCCACATCGAACCAATCGATGTTGGTCTCTAGAAAATTCTTCAATAATTAGATATTTCAGTTTTTAGAGATGCATGATATAGATTACATTCACTGCATGGAATGAGCATTATTTACATGCATACCGCATAATTCTTATTTATTTATATATTTCTAACCTAAATATTTATATTTAACAATATATCAAAAATGTCAGAAGTATAATATTTTTAAACGTGAAATACAACTTCTCCTACACAAATTTATGACACCAAATATAAATATCAAGTTTTGGGCTCTAGATATGCAATCGTAGGGCTGTCAAAAAAACACATTGTTCGATTTATTGAATAGCTCTTTTTCGCTCTGTTTGCTAAGCAAATGAGCCAATCACGAATAATTTTTTTTTTAGCACGATTTATAAACTAGCTGAAATTTGTTCGTGTTTGTTTTAGCTCGAAATAATTATATAATATTTATTTATATTAAAAATGTTAAATTTTATTATTTTTAAAAATGATTTGGTTGTTATAATTATAAAAACATAAGCTTAGGGGTTAGATATGTAAATAAATAGGATTTTTGGTGGTATGTATGTAAATGCTTTTAAAATTGAGCACCGATTTCTCTGATTTAGAATTTATATATGTAAATAAAAAAGAAATAGGTGGTATCTATTTAAATATCATCGGATTTTCCCATAAAAGCTCCTTTTTCCGCCTTCTCTTTTTTACTTGTAATTCCAAATAAGAATTGTATATAAACACTAAAATGAGTTTCTTATTTGCTCCTGGCCTTCATTTGGAAACAGAAACAATTTATTTCTTTTAATTTAAGAAGTACATTAAAATAAATATTTTATTTTGGATGTTATTAAAAAATGGGAAAATTTTATTTCTTCTTATTTTGAAAATATGATAATTTAAATTTTTTTTAGTCATTCTTTGATGAGTAGCTTATATTCGAGCCGAACACGTGCTAACACGAGCAAATTTGAATTAAATCAAATCAAACACGAACAACAATTTGATAAATGAGAATATTAAAATGATATTGATTTATTATTATTTTGAATATAAAAATTAAAATAGTAAAATTAATTATTTAAATTTTGAATAAAAATAATATTTATTATGTAAAAGGAAAGGTTTGGGTGATATAAATATAAAAAATAAAAAATAAAATTTAAATTGTAGATATGCAAATTTATTGAACGCGAAGGGTGTGCCGCTAAATACAATTTAAAAATAAATAGAAAAATATAAAAAAGAAAAAAAAAGTCTCCATTTTTGAACCCCAACCAATTGCCCACGTCGACGCAGCGAAGCAAAAGGGTAGCGATCTTCAGCACGAAGTCGCCGGCGAGGAGAACACAAATTTGGAGAACCAATCGACTCCTCGAATCCCTTCGATCTTTCACTGCCGCCGCCCTGCAATTCGCCGGAAACATCCGCCGCACGCCGGAAAGTTAATGTCTTCCGACGGCAAATGTCACCCGTTATGTTAGACTTTCGGTCACCTGTCTCTTCCTCCTCCCATAAGGTTCAATCCAATCGTTACACATCGCAGAGGTTTGTTACAGGCTGTATACCTTCACCCCCTTCTCATCATATCTTTAAATCAGGCGGCATTCCCGATCCTTCTTCGTCCATGGATCGATCGAACCTAGGGCAAGGGGTTTCGGCTACTACGGAGAAGCTTTCGGTTCCACGTTTCCGGAAGCAGAGGAAGCGATTAGGTATTTCTCGTGCGTCGCCCGCGAACCCTGCATCGGATGGTGGTGCCGGTATCGGGCAGTCTAGGTCGAAAACGCTTTATGCTGTTCCTTTTGATCTGGGAGAAGATAGTGGGACGCAGTGTGTGCTGGAGCGGTTATATGGATGGAAGCCTTTTGTATCGGATGCATCAAATTGTTCCAGTTCTGGAACAGGAGTTGTGTTTAGCGCTGGTTCGTCAGGATCAAATGCTAGTTCGAGCAGTATTGGGGTGGGGAGTGGTAAAGGCGCTGCGTTTGATGTTTGTGACGGAGGTAGAGGCGATATTGGCGAGGGAAATTTTGTGTTTGGTAGGGGAATGGAGAAAGTTGCTAGCTGGAGTAGTAGCTCTTCGCAGAGCTCGTGTACAAAGAACTTGGGCAATGACGACTCCGCTAAATTAAAAAGTTCTGAAACAGGAATACCAGTGGGTGGTTCGTCTTGCTCTCTAGTTGAAGATAATATGTTCTCTGATAAGGGTGTATTTGTTTTTGGGGTCAGTGGAAGGAATGATGGTAATTTGTACAACGGTTCGTCGTTGGGATTGGAGAATGATGCAACCTTTAAATTGAATTCAAGCAAAAATGTTGACGAGAAAAGTGGGAAGCCGGAGTCTGGTATGTTTGCGCATTGGAATGGAGAGAAGAAAAGCATCCATCCAAGCAAAAACTCTTATTTTATCCCTGGTGATGGTTTATGTAGTGAACAACCTGACAGAGCCAGGAAGAAGGATCAGGAGAACTCTGGTAATGTGGACTCTCGGAAGGCAGACAGTGGTGTAGATGTATTTGGACGCTTTGCAGAGACAAAGGTTAATTTAGATCAGAACTCAACCATGTGCTCCAATGGAAGCTCATTTTTCTCAGTTTCCAAGTTACCTGAAGACTTAATGAAGCTCAAGATTGACTCTTCTGAGAATGGTGAAAATGGGAACAAGAATTCAAGTGTTTTTGTATTTGGGAGTGGTGCAAATAATAGCAGCCGTGCAAGCAAGAGTTCATCATTCAATTTTTTGGACAGCACCTTATCAAAGCTACCTCAGAAAATGGAGAAGCTGAACTTAGATAGTTCTGTTGGTGTGTCTCGTGGAGATTATGATGCAGGTGCTGAGAGCAGTTTAAAGAAACAAACTCAGTTCAGTCAGACTTCTCCTTCAGGTAATAATGTGGGCGGCTCTATGTTTCCTGGGGAGTTGAAAAAACAAAACTTACATAGCTCAGATATTGGGGAGCTTGGGAATGACGATAATGGTGTTTTCGTATTTGGTAGAGGTATGAGGAAAAATGCTAATTCAGGCAATTTGTCGTTCCAAAGTTTTGAGGAGAGTTCAATTTCTAAGCTTCCTGATGAAATGAAGAACATGAAGTTGAATAACTTAGCCAATGAGGATGATTCTCAGAAAAATAATCCGGGAAATACTTGGAACAATCATGATAACAATGCAGCTCCCAACTTAAGTTCACGTCCGAGCAAAGAAGATTATGGTTCAAAAGTCACACCCTTGCAGGCCCATAACTCCTGTGGGCTGAATGCAGAACCTACATCATTTTCTTCTGCACTACCCAGCTTCCAGAATTCTATGAATCATCTATATTTCACCAGCATGCGTGCCGGATCAGACATGCCCATGGAATTTATAAGTCAAAAGCTTGATTCTTCTCTGTTGACCAAGGAGAGTCTCTTCACTAAACCGCAAAAGAACATGACTAAGGAAGATTCTAAAAACGTCCGGGTAAAGAATAAAAGATCTAAAGCAAGGAAATCTACTCCAATACACCCAAGTATAGCTAAACAGTTTGGTTCTGTGGATAAGGGTCTTGAGGAAAATCAAGAGCAAGATTCTACTGGCGCAGATTCACCAATGGATTACTCACCTTATCAGGAGACTTTAGTATCTAACTTGTGCTTGGATGCACATGTTGAAACTGACAAATCCATCCATTTTGATTCAAGATGCGTATCAAATGATGCTCAAAAATCAGTTTTTGACATTAATGAAAGTTTTCATGAACATGAAGAAGCAGATTCTTGTTTTAGAGTTCCTTCTGAGAGACATTTTACTTCTGTGGATGAAATGAATTCAGGACTTCAGAAAGGAAACCTTGAAGCCATAAATGATAATTTTGACTCTGTCATTCAAGCAAAATCTTCATCTATAGAATCAGAATCATTCAGCTATGACTCAAGCTTAAAAGAGCCTACTTACAAGGGTAAATTCACGTTAAATTCTTGTTCACAAGATGCTGGCCAATCCAATTTTATGTTTGCTGCTACATCTGTTCAAGGCCCATCATCAGTATCGAAACGGAATCACCGACGGAAAATCAAAATAAAAGGTGGTGAGGAATCACATCGTAATTTTAAGCAGCCTTTGGCTCCTCGACCTTCAAATACATTTCTTTTTCCAAATGCAACAGTGCCCACTGATACCAAACAAGAGCACAAAGACATTTTTGATGGTGCAAGAGAAGAAAATTTTAATGCTACAAAATCTAAACAGGATTCTGCAGAAGAAACCTGTGAAAAGTGGCGACTCAGGTTCTCTTTATATTTTTTCAAATTTCTTACACTTCTCATGTTTTTTTTTCCTTACCTTATTCAAAACATCCATTTTGCACTAATAAATTATGGTTGATTTACATGCATACCACCCAATTCTTATGTATTTACTTAGTTAACACCTAAATCTTTTTTATCACGCAAATATTGCCACCATTTTAACTTTTAAAAAGTGAAACACGCCTTTTCATGCATCGGTAAGGTGGCTTATATGTAAAATTGATGTTTGGATGTTAGGTATGTAAACACATAATTATTGAGTGCTAATGCAGTTAAATCCTCCATATTTATTTAGTGGTGGTTGTTTGACACTAATCTTTCTTTTCTATGGTACAGAGGTAATCAAGCTTATGCAGATGGAAATCTTTCTAAAGCTGAAGACTTTTATAGTCGTGGAGTGGACTCTTTCTCTTTCGAGGAAATTTCTAAAGGCTGCAGTAGAGCTTTGATGTTGTGTTATAGTAATCGTGCAGCTACACGAATGTCACTTGGAAGGTTGAGGGAAGCACTTGATGACTGTAAGATGGCTATCACAATTGATCCTAGCTTTCTTCGAGCCCGAGTAAGGGCTGGGAAGTACGTGATTCGTGTTTTTTATTTTCCTAATTGTGCACATGCTTGCATTTCATTTTTTTTTTAATTATCTCTGTCTTATACTTTAGTAATCTCATATATTAGAACTGTTAATGAAAAGAAAAAAAAGGAATATTGAACGTGCTGTTCATAAAATAAAGGGAAATTCACATACACAGCACAAAGTTTTTATGTATTTACATATCTCACACGTAAACTTTTACATGCATACCACTTTGGTACTTCAAACCTATGCATGAAAATGTGTATTTCACTTTTAAAAAGTGATAATAGTGCTAATTTTGATTTGATATTAAAGATTTGAGTTTTATGTGTTTTAATATGAAGGTATAGGTGTGAGATATGTAAATACATAAGAATTGTGGGCTATGTGTGAATGCCCCTTTTTTAATTCACTTTCACAGCTTATATTTTTCTAAGAAATCTTATTATTTTTTCATTTTTGTAGTATCCATCTTTCTCTTGGAGAGACTGCAGATGCCCTGCAACATTTTGAGAAGGTCTTGCAATTAGACAAGGAGGCAAAATCTGACCAGAAAATTCTATTAGAGGCCATTGATGGCATTGAAAAAACTCAGGTAGAATTTTCTTTTAATTGGTCTTGGAATTGTCCCTTTGTTCTTAAAGCTGTCATAATATTTTGTGTTTTTCTTTACTAAATTTAGTTGGATCACCAGTCAATAGTATTCATTTATGAAAAACTTATATGACTGTTAAAGGGGAACATTTTAGTGGATTAAGATTTTAATCCAGTTGGCTTACTGAATTGTTTAAAAGAAAATTTCTTGTTGAACTGAAAGTTCTCTAGTTTGCTTGAACCTTAACTTGTTCATCAATTTTTTACTGGACTAAGTAGAGGTTAAATTGTTCGTTGCACTCAAAACTTTAATACCTATTTTTTCAAGAAATCAATGATCATAATTTGCTATAACCCTTCACCCCAACATCTATTCTCAACAAATATTGGCAACTAAGCAGATTTTAGATTTTTATTATAAATATGAAATCAGTTGTTTTTTTCTTCAACGATGAAATTTGAACAATTGCTCCTTGAAGAACCTTTCTCGTGCTAGTTGAAAACATCACGTGATTTTCTCTCTTCACTATTTGTTCTTTTAGCTTGATGTTGATAGATGTAAAGCTAAATCCAAGTAGCAATATGTTGTTAGGAAATTCTTTGTCTTTGGAGCAAAATATTTTAATTGAGAGTTATAGACATTATTGCTATTGTGCATATTAATTATCTTTTTTATGTATTTCTAGTTTTCATGATTCAATGGTTAGGGAAAGTATAAATCTCTCGTTATAGAAATTTTTAAAATTTCATCGAAAGAATAATTTAAGGGATAATTATAACCGGTTATGTTCAAATGCGATAACACAATGATGGGTAACTGTATATTTATATTTGATAAAATTATAGTTTTTAATGACGCAAAATAGTGCACCATGGCACATGATGCAGCGAAGCTTACTACCTATGTTAGAACATTGACATGGTGCATAGTTTCAAAATATTGTGCACCATTTGATTATGGTATGCTTCATTTGCATTATCTTGAGAGTTTTTATATACTTTTCACTTAACTAGTGCTTAATTAATTAATTGCTAAAATAAAATAATTTTTGCCCTAAACAGTGATTAAATGAGTTTTAAAGGCTAAATCCAAATTGGGTTACTTGCCTTCGCCTTATAGAATCCATATCAAAATTTGGTAGATCACAAGCCCTCGTCTCATACTAGCATGAAAAATTACTTTTGTCATTAGTGAATGCTTGTAATGAATGTAAGGATTCGTGGCTAGTATGTGATTCATTATATTTTTCCTTCTAACTCTTTTGGATTTTCAAGGAAGGAACAATAAGCATCATGATGTTTCAAAGAAGGACTAATGTTAGTTCTCAATTATTTCTCCCGCTTAACATATAATGCTGACTGACGTTTATTTTTGAGGTTTTTAATGATCGTATACTTATATTTTTAATTAAATGCTAGCTCAAAGTTTTAGAACATCCCTGGTTGATGACATCGTTGTGATCTAGATTGGTGGTTGAAAGTTGAGTTTGTATATGGGAAAATAGATGACGATGGATGGTAAACTCAATGAAAATCCCATTCCTTTGTCTCTTTGGGCCAACTTGTTGGATTCAATTTATCATTTATAGAAGGTTGGAAGGCTGCATCATCCAAGTAATCTAAGGTACATTCTATTAGATGTCTTGAATAGGTTCATGTGACAATACAACAAAGCGTATGAGCATGTACCTTCAAAGGGAATGCCAATGTTCTTGAATGAATGAGGTATTCAAGGTCTTGTGTGGTTTATTATGATTTAGAGGTTCAAGACGTGATGTTAAAGGTATAATGCAATGTGCTTACTATTTCAATCAAAGTTGACTCAGGGGCATAACGAATGGAGTAGTGCATTCAAAGGTGTTAGTACATGATTGCCTCTCACTTCGAGGTATTGGCATAGTTAGTTTACTTGTCCAATATGAATTTTGTCCCACTAAAATAGGATGCATCTTAAGGTATATTGGGCATAAACATGTTTTAAAAATTGAACCAAACCGGTCGGTCCAACTATTTTAATTATGAACATGTCCTTCGATTGGTTCTCGCAAAGAATTATCTTGAATTGACTGTTGAATCAGTGAAGAGGTTTGACTTTTTATGAGTCAGAGGACTCTTATTTTGATCAATTTTTGGCGTATTGATTCCATTGGATGGTTAGAAATTAAAGATTTATATTTAAAAAGACGAAAATAACTAAAATATCATGTTTGAAATTTTATTGTAGAATTTTATTTACAATATTTAAGAATAAGCTATTGTAAATTAGAATATTGTATATTGAATATGTGAAAATATTATTATTGTGTTCTTATTACATCATTTGAATCCTATTAAAATAATTATAATATTCATACATCATCTTGTTTAATCCCAATTTAATATTTGAAAATTGGACTCCTTTTGGTTCAATATCCGATTTGATTTTAATAACCATGGCAAGAACTTTATATCGCGAGATGTCTTCATTATGAGACTCGATTCTCGAGGGTTTATGCCCGTGTAGTAGAGGGCTATATGTCGTATCCATGGTTTTCTTTAATGAGATAACTATCTTGTTGACTCTTCAAAGCATTGCCTTATGCTCAAAGAAAGGTGGGTTTGCTTTTAGTGATCATAAGATTTACCTAGCAAATGTGTTCAGATATTAAAAAGTTTTGGGCTTACAGCTATGTGTATATAAAGGCCCGGGAAGTGGGACTTACTAGATTATGGGTTTATAGACTAACCTAAGGATGTATGTGGGATCGATGGAGTTATGGTCCAACTTAAGAATTTTTATTAGATTGATGGGGTAATGGCTTAGTTTGAGGATGTTTGTGGGACTTATGGGGTTATGCAGTTGCTTAAGAACATATATAAGACTTTATTAGGTTATTATCCAACCCAAGAATTGTATTCTATGCTTCCTTCATATAAAAACACTTCGGAATATAGCACCTTAAGTCTCTGAAGGTTTGAATCAACTCTATGATCCATGTGTGACATATCCTTTTTGGTTAGAGGAATGATTTGAGGATGTCTTATTTTCTCGTGATATAAAGGAGGTAGCCTGGGGATTTAAATATTTATCATAATTAACTTTGAAGGCCTTATGAAATTGTGTATTCAAATGTAATGGTGAAAGTTATGCCATTGAGCCCTAAAGATCAAGAACTAGTGCTTCTTGCTTTATTATTGAGGATGTTTACTTTTAGGACTCATCATTCTGATATTGGAAGGAAATACCGGATTGATCTTGCCTTGTAAACACAATGGTATGGCTTCATTAGTGTTGAATTATTTAGTTTGAGTTCGAAGCCAGTTGAGAAGTCTGGGAGTGGAACTTACGAACTTTTGGTGCTAGGTCTCACAACTTTGCCCTAAATGCAAAGTTACTTGAGTCTAATTTTTTTTAAGAACATTCCTAAATATCTTATACAAATATAAAATCAACATCTTGGTGAGTCACTCCTCATCAGGGCTTGAACCATTGAAGGCTTTGGCAACTTTCTTTGGGATCAAGGTTAGCTACTCTTTTTCTGCTTGTTGAGACATTGAATCAGATAGGCTGATTGCATGCATACATTATATTTAAAAATTTATAGAGATGGTTGAGATAGATTTGAAAGAGACGTCATTAGATTATTATTATTTATGCCATGATCTTGTATAAACTCTAGGAATCTAAAAGACATCATAATGGACCCAACAAAGGGAAGCTCATCCTTGGCGATGGCGGTCACTTGAGATAAAGCTTGAGATCAATGAATGATGACTAGTGGTTGGTTATTATAGGTGATTGCATGTTTTTTGGTGTTACGTGTGAGGTGAGAGGGAAGAGACATAGGCAATCAGATGTATTAAAAAAAAAGTCAGGGCGATATAGATTGAGGCTAGTGTGTTTGTCGAGTGCTTTGCATGCATAGAGTAGATCATCACGAGTTTCTTGCATCTAGAGTTGGATAGTTTATCATGCTGAAAGGCTAGGAGTTGGCCCAATTAAGGCAGCTTTTCGCAAGATATGAGGTAACTAATGGGTTGACTAGGAACATCTTTGCATTTTTGTTGGAGTTGGCTATCCAGATTGCTTGAGCAAGTGAAGGAACAAGTGGAAAGCTGCGGCTTTTGAAGGGAGTAAGCCTTGGGTGCAGGCATCCCAGTGGCATTTATCGTGGTTTTTATAGTTGAGATTTTTTTAATTTGCAAATTTTTATTTATTTTGAATGAATTGCATCCCATGAAATTTAAACACAGACATGTGTACACAGCTAAGACATGACATGGGCACAACGGCACGACATAATTTCAAAAGGAGAGGACGACATGTCGTGGACATATGTTTATATTTAATAAATTATCAATATTAAATATTTATATTTTTTATGTTATTTTCTATTGAAGACATCATAGAATTAAATATAATTTCATGGAAGGGCTTCTACTAATAAAATGAACTAAACATGATTAATATTTAAAAAATTTATATTTGATCACACTAGCATTTATAAATGTCCCACCGTATCTTTGTTGTGTTCTTGTTGTATCTCATCATGTCCTTACCATGTCTCACCGTGTCAGAAACCTTAATCTACAATAAAATATTCCTAATAGTTTGTAATGCGTCAGACGCATGTTGGGGCATGTTGGAGCCTTGTCTGACATGTGTCCAACATGGATACAAAGGCCATTCCGAAGTGTCTGTGTTTCATAGGTTGCATTTAATTTATTGTTGTTAGAACTTATTAGTTGATTATGAGTGTCATTTAGTCTAATGTATTTGATGAAGTGCATATCGTATCATATACTTGCTAAACTCTTGAACAATTAGTATCTTCTTCATTTGATGTGATTTTGAATTTTTAATTTGACACGTCACAGTTCTCTCATTTCTCTGCACAATAAATGCCATATTTTTTTCTATTTATTAGTGCACTTCTGATATTTTCAGGCATTGTTTCTTGTGACAGAAATTGAATAATTTAATGGATCAATCTTCCATCTTCTTGACAAAATGGACTCCAGACGATGCAGCTAAAGTTTTCGAAATGGTCTCCGAGGCACTCTCCATTGCTCCTCAGTCAGAAATCTTGTTAGAAATGAAGGCTGAGGCTCTACTGAAGGTTCGCAATGTTTTTACGCTATTTTGTTCTTATTGTGATTCAATTTTAATTTTTGTAAGTTTTCTCCCTCTGCACCTGCTTTAGTAATTGGTACAAAAAGATTTGGAGGTAATGAATTATATTGATGTTTTAGCTTGTTTATGTATTTACATATCTCACGCTTATACTTTCTTATTTACACATAGCACTCAAATCTTTAATATCAAGTTAAAAATAGCACTATTACCACTTTTTAAACGTGAAATTCATCCTCTCATACATAGCTTTAAAGCACCAAAATGTTATGTTTGTAAATATGAAAGTTTAAGTGTGAGATAAGTAAATACATAAGAATTGTGTGCTATTTATATAAATTTCCAAATTCTTATAATTTGGCAATCCAACAGCTACGGAACTATGATGAAGCAATTCAGGTGTGTGAGCAGACACTGGAATTTGCCGAGAAGAATTCTCGTGTTACTGAAACTGATTCTCAGTCTATGGACAGAAATTGTTCCAAATCTATTAAAAAGTCCCATGCTAGGTTTTGGCGTTGGCGCATCATCTCGAAATCTTATTTTTATTTAGGAAAACTTGAGGAGGCTAATGAGCTACTTCAGAAACTCGAAAAAATGAAGCCTGATATCGACAAGTATTACTTGAGCTCTGCTTTGTGATTACTTTCATATTTAATGAGTTGCTTTTTTTATTTCCTTTAAGTAAATAATTGCTTTTTGGATATTGGAATAGGTATCCGGAAGCTTCCACATCATTTTTTGTCACTGTATGCGAGCTTCTACGCCTAAAAGTAATTATTTTTTCATCATTGAATCACTTTTCAAGTATTTTGTTTGTTCTTTTTCCCCCCATTTTCTATTGATGCTGGTTGTTTTAAATTTTTTGCCTTATTTTTTAGGTTTTTTTTTAAAATTTTAAGTATGAAAAAAAGGAGCAATTTTTGGTGTTGTATGCACAACAAATTACATGGAAAATGATACTGATAAAACAGTACTGCATATATAGTTTATTAAAACTGTAATTAGATTGTTGAAGAAGTTTCAATATTTTGTTGCGAGCAAATGCCAAATGTAAATTTTGATTAAAAGAAATGTAAATTTTTATTATATGACATAACTTATTAATCCAAGGATTTGTGAGATCATTGCATATATAGTCTTAAAACTAACAAATCATGCACCGGAGAATCATACAAGTCAATTAGAATGTTATGTTACCCACTTTTTATGAATTATATGGTATTTAAAACCATTCTAGTCTTTTAGTAAGTTGCTTAATTTAATTATTGCTTATTATGACTCAAAATCTGTTATAAGTTATCTTAGGAAATAGTTTATTCCTATTAGAAGTTATGAGGATTAAACATATTTTCTTTCCTATTTTATGTTGTTTCATTTATCTCAAAAATAATTAATATGAATTGATTAATTAGAGATATTAGGAGTCATATCTTTTCTATGCTAGAATTTATGTAAGGGTTATTTATACTCTCTTTTATATCAATAAAAATATTTTGAATTTTAACATGGTATCAGAGTTTAATTTCGTATCCTAGCCACCTGTCCTCCTTCCAGAACCATCGAACTCCCTTCTTGCCATCCGCCATGTGGGACGGGAGGGGCAATTGTCTTGGTATTTGAAACAATGATTTATTTTCTTCTTCACCTAACCATAGATCCCGACCTCCTGCCTAACCCTAGATCCCAACCACCGGGCTAATCTACAATAGCCGCATTCCTTAATTGTAGAGCCTCTCGCAATTTTTCCTAGCAGTCATCCCCTCTGGCTAGTTGTCCCAGCCACTGGCTTGCTCTGCATCCGACCAGCTCTTCCTGCTCTTCAACATTTTGGCTTCTTTGATTTTTCTATAGGTCCTTACCACTGGAGGTACAACTTTCCCTAGAGCTGCAGCTTTCCTGCCACCTTCACTGTAGGTCTTTCCCACAGTTTTTTGGCGCTTGTTCCCTGCAGCAGTCCGATTCCTGGTTTATAGCAATCTGGCTTCCCATATTTTCTGCCATTGTCCAGATTTCCAGCAGTCCGGCTTTCTAATTTCAAGTTTGCCTACAGATCTCCTTTGTTACTTTTGTCAGTCGGCTTTATGTCTCAAAATCTCAACCAACTCCTTTGGCTCAGTCGGAATCATGGTAAACTCCTCCAATTTTGAGCTATCTTTAGAAGGTGTTTTGGATTCCACCAGAGAGTTGAATCCAACCTCGACAGTAGGGGCGACTTTATCACTCATAGTGGAAATCTCTGTTTCAATCGCTTATCTCTTTTGCATGATTTTCTAGCCATTAGACCTCCCTGCCGACCACTCCAGCTGCTTCAGCCCCGACGGAAATGGCAATCGCAATCCCCCTACGCAGTGAGGAGCGCGAGCCGAGCCCTGGTTGTGTCGAGAAGCCTTTGTGGCTCGTGATGTTTTGTGTAACTAATATGTTGGATTATGTTGATCAAGGAATGATTGCAAGCAATGGTGTAAGTGGTAGACAAAGCAAATGCGTGGAGAGCGGTATTTGCATATCATAAGGTGGAATTCAAGGTGACTTCGACCTCAACAATTTTGAAGATGGTGTCCTCTCATCTGCGTTTATGGTTGGACTTCTAGTGGCATCTCCAATATTTTGCACCCTTAGCAAAAAGTGAAGCTTCATTCATAAGCCTCACAGCTCCATCAATTGAACAATGCAATTGCATCACAGAAAACAGTTTGGCATGTAGCTTTCTACATGGAAATTCCATCTGGAATTGCACTTGGTTACGTATATGGTGGAATGGTTGGGAATGATCTCCATTAGAGTTATGCTTTCTAAAGGGAGGCACCCTTGATGCTTCCATTTGCTATTTTTGGCTTTCTTATAAAGCCATTGTAGTTTTTATTCGTCAAAGCCTGATAAGGAGGAAGCCTTGGGTGCAACCGATGCAGCAGACTTATTTCGAAAAATTTTTCTGCAACATCCCTCCTTTAGAACCTTTTCCTGGAACAGGCCTCCTCCAAAGCGCTTTATGCAGTCCCTCCTTTGGTGCCTTTTTTCTGCATCAGACCCTCTGCAAATTTTTCCTGCATCGAGCCCTCATTCGGATTCTTTCCTGCATCAAAGCTTCCTCCGGAATCTTTCTTTCAGCAAATCCCTCTGCAGAGCGCTTCCGGCAGCAAGTCCTCCACTGAAATTATTCCTGCAGCAGGTCATCCTCTTGAGTTTTTTATGTATCAGGTCCTCTGGTACTTTTTTCTGCAGCAAGTCTTGCCTTCGAATTTTTTTCTTTTTTCTGCAGGTCATACCCTACAATTTTTCTTGTTGGTTGTCTATTCCCTGCAAACACCTCTGCAACATTACCCATAGGAGTTTTCCGCCTATCTACAGACACTGCAGGTACTGCAGTCAAAGATAACTACATCAACTTGAAATTAGTTTTTCCTGCAGGTTGTCTATATCTCTGCAAACTCTCTTAGAACATTATTTGTAGAAACCTTCTATCTACTTACAAACACTGCAGGAACTGCAGTCAAAGACAACTTTAGTTGTCTACTTCCTTGCAAACTCCCCTGCAGCATTACCTGTAAGTGTTATGTCTGCCTACAAACACTGTAGGAACTGCAGTCAAAGACAGCTGCAGTCAACTAGAAGTAAATTTTTCCTACAGGTTATCTACTTTCCTACAAACTTCCTTGCAGCATTACCTCTAGAAGTATTCTGCCTACCTACAGACACTACAGGAACCACAGTAAAAAATAATCGCAGTACGAATGAAGAAGTTCCACTTCACAGGATCTTCCTCATCCATTATTTGATGTTTTCAAATCTAAGTTGAACATGATTTCAACTATGGTTCAACTTGAGGGAAAGTGTTTTAAGTTATATTAGGAAATAATTTATTCATGTTAGAAGTAACGAAGGTTAAACTTATTTCTTTAGATTTGATTTTTTCCTTTTCTAATTTAGATTTTTCTATTTTATGTTGTTTACTTTATTACTAAAACAATTAATATGAATTGATTAATTGGATTATTAGGAGTTATATCTTTTCTTTCCTGTTATTTTTTTTTTTATTTTCTTTCCTATCCTAAGATTCATGTAAGGGTTATTTATATCCTTCTTCATATCAATAAAAATATTCCGCATTATTCTCAATTCCAACAAAATCTTATGTGGTTCCTCTGAGAGCATTTAGTGGTTCAGGGCTTCTCTCTCTTTCGACATTTTAATTTAGGGAAATTTAGATATGTATCACACAATTCTTATGTATTTGCATATCTCACACCTAAACTTTCATATTTACATACATAGCACTTTTTGGTGTTTTAAACCTATGCATTCGAAAGTGTATTTTATTTTTAAAAAGTGGTAGTGTTATTCGTGATGTGATATTAAAGATTTGAGCACTATGTGTGTGAATATGAAAGTTTAGGCTTGAAATATAGAAATGCATTAGAATTGTATTTTATGCTCTAAATGCGCCTTTAAATTAATTTCAGGCCACTGTTTCGCATGTAACAACTATTTCTATGCATGCGGTCCCCTAAAAAGTGCGTCAGCGACATTCAACACTTGTCCTTGTTTATAAAATAATCAAGTTTCCCTTTTCTGTATTCAATGAATCTTATTTCCATAAAAAAGAGCCATTTACATACATACCACACAATTCTTATGTATTTAGTATTTACAGATCTAACACCTAAACTTTACATTTTATATTTATACCAACCAAATCCTTTATTTCGCATTAAAAATACCACTATTTTAACTTTTAAAAAGTGCAATACATCTTTGCATGCATAAGCATGGTGGCATATATGTAAAAATTGAAGTTTAGGTAAATACATAGAAATTATTAAATCTTCGAAAAAAAAATTATCCAAGTTGATTTATTAGTGCATCTTCTTCCAAAGACTGCAGGAAATGAAGCATTTCAAGCAGGAAAGCATCTGGAGGCTGTGGAGCTTTATACAGCTGCTTTAACATTGAATACGGAATCCCGTCCTTTTACGGCAATATGTTTCTGCAACCGTGCTGCTGCATACCAAGCTCTGGGCCAAATTACTGATGCTATTGCGGATTGCAGTCTTGCTATTGCTCTCGACTCTACTTATAAAAGGGTTTGTGATCTTTTGCATTGTCAGTTTGCTTTACTAGTGGTTTCTTAATTAGCGTAGTGTCACATCGAAAACCAAGTATATAGCAGAATTTTAGTTTATTCATGTTGTGCCTGTAATTTTTGGGGGAGAAAAGTGTCAAAATGGTCCCCTTACTATTTGTCGGAAGACATTTTAGTCCTAGTGTCTATAAAAATGTCACTTTTGTCCCTAGATTCTTTTAATGGGGGCTAAATTAATTTTCCCTAGGGACTATTTAAGCCCATATTAAAAGAGTTGGAGGACTAACTTGACATTTTTATAGGCTCCGTGATTAAAATGACCCCATATAAATAGTTAGGGGATTATTTTGACACTTTACTTAAAACTTAATTTTTGTTGATAAATTGCCCATTTTGAGGACCACATATCCTGTTACTTCATTCTTAAACCGCACATCATTTTATTTTTAACGAAGATTTACATACATACTACTTAATTCATATATATTTACATATCTAACATCAAAAATATATATACCACCACTTTACCTATGCATGAAAAGGTGTACTTCACTTTAAAAGATTAAAATAGTGGTATTTTTTATGTGATATGAAAGATTGAGGTGGCTAAGTGTAAACAAAGGAAAGTATAGGTGCTAGATTTGTTAATACATAGGAATGGATGGTTTGTATGTAAATGCCCCTTATTTTCATCTTTGGTGAGCATAGTTAACAGCTTTAGAATATTATGCTGACCTTGCAGGCAATTTCTAGAAGAGCCACTTTACATGAAATGATTAGAGACTATGGGCAGGCAGTCACTGATCTTCAAAAGTTGACTTCTCTTCTTGAGGTGCATTCGGATGATAAAAACAGTGCTAGTGGATCCCTTGGTAGATCGAGCAGTAACTTCGAAGATCTCAATCAAGCTCGAATGAGGCTTTCGAGAGTCGAAGATGAGGCCCGAAAAGGAGCAACATTAAATATGTATATGATATTGTAAGCCCTGTCAGCTTTAGCATGGTAGCGAACAATCTTCGGTTTTTAAGCATTGTTTCTTCATACTTGTTGCCTCACCTTTTTTTTTTTTTTTTTTTTTTTTTTTTTGTGTTTAGGCATATGATTAGTATCTATGTTTGCTAGTTATATTATGTAGGGGACTTTTTTTGCACTTTACTTTATTTCAATTTTCTTAGCATGCCGCATAAAAACTACTTCAATTTTGCTAATATAGCCACTTATCTCTTAATACAGGGGAATTGAAAGTTCATGCTCTACTACAGATGTGAGGAAAGCTTATCGCAAAGCTGCACTGAGGCATCATCCTGATAAGGTATTGATAAAATTTCCACTATTTTTCTTACTTCTACTATCAGAGAGAAAAAATTATAACGATTTAATCGATACAGGCCGGTCAATTCCTAGCTCGAAGTGAGAATGGTGATGATGGAGTTTGGAGAGAAATTGCGGAAGAAGTCCACTCGGATGCTTCTAGATTATTCAAGATGATCGGGGAGGCATATGCGATTCTCATAGACCCATCGAAGGTACTTTGAAATTTATATTTTCAGAAACTCGAACATATTTATTGTTCGATATTGGAGTTGTTGGCTACTTTTTTTGATAGGCTGATTCAATGAGTTGAATTTCATGTGATAATTACTTGGCTAATTGGATTTTAAGGTTTCATCAGGATTAGAAATACCCATTTTAACCTTTAAATATGTAGAATTGAACGAGAAAAGTGCAAAAATGGTCCCTTAACTCTTTGTGGGGATTTATTTTAGTCTTAAGAGGTTATAAAAATGTCAATTTAATCCCCAAACTCCTTTAATATGAGTTGTAATAGTCCTCACAGAGGGGACTACTTTAGCTCCCATTAAAACGGACCGACGTCTAATTTCACATCTTTATAAACTCTAGGACTAAAATGGACTAAAATGGACCCATGCGTGTAGTTAGGGGTCTATTTTTGCACTTTAATCATAAATTAAATGACTATATGAAATATGATAAACTTTTGATTACATCAAAAGAACCTGTTCTGTTGAAAAAAAGAGATTTTAAAAGAACAGATAATTAAGCATTTTTCAAGTCCAAGGCCTCAACATATGGTATAGAAAGTGCTAATATAGCTCAGTAATTAGAGAGCCATGTTGTTTTTTATGTTTACATTGACATATATACTACTCAAATCCTACGTGTTTACATATCTAACGCCTTAATTTCAATTTTTGCATATTTATATGCCACCTTTCCTACGCATGAAAGGTTATATTTTGTTTTTAAAAGTATTTTTGTGTGTTGTGAAAGATGGGGGGTGATAGAAATGTAAAATGTAAAGTTTAAGTGTTAGATATGTAAATACAGAAAAATTGGGTGGTATGCATGTGAATTCCTCTTTTTTTATTCTATAGTGGACTAAGATTTCCAAAAGGTTACCAAAATTACTCTACGACTTGAAACTTCTAACCAGAACTCCACTGACAATTTTTTTTTATATCTTAAGCAAAAATACAATTGTACTGCGACATTTCTGATCTATCTGCCTGTATGAAGATGATCATGACAATACTGTTAAAATTTGTTAGCCTTTTCTATCGAAAAAATTTTACTGAGTGATATGTACTTGAGCAATTTGGTGTAGTTGCTTTTTTTCTTTTATCATTTACATACATACCACTCAATTCCTATGTATTTATATATCTAATTGCTTAACTTTGCTTTTTACATTTATATCATCTAAATCATTCATATAGGTAGGACGGGATATATAGGTAAATTTTGAAGTTTAGATAATAGATATTGTAAATACACAGGAATTTAGTGGTACCATGGTTGTATGTAAAATTTCCTTTATTTTATCACTAGGATTTAATGTTGTTTTGCCTTCAAATTTAAAAACTGTTTTGACATTTTTCTCGTTATATAACCTTCCTAGTATGAACAAATAGAAATCATTGCCCTTTTTTTCTTTTTTGGGCGAAATTGTTTCATTTTTTCATTGACAAACTGTATAACGGTCATTTGCCTGTTTAGCGCCAACAATATGATATTGAGGAGGAGTTGAGGACTATGAAGAAAAACTATGGCTCTTATGGCGCAAGTAGTTCGACCCGAACCCAAGCTAGCAGCAACAGCAGCCAACAGGAAAAACCTTTCAATTCACATCACTGGAACCCGTATAGAAGTTCGTATTGGCGGAGATCGGAGGGATGATTTCTGCACCATGCTTCAACTTGGATCTGTAGAAGAAGCTGGAAGCTGCATTGCCTGCTGATAGTCTGCCATTAAGAGCTGTGATTTCATGGAATATGAGGGGGCTGACTGTCAAAATGTTGGAAGAGTGCATTTTTCTGTAAATAATTTCGCTGAGGGGTTGATTGAGCCATTTGGAGCAGGGATTGGATTGGCGGGAGAGATCGGCTGGGTGATTGCAAATGTAAAAAGAGGAATTATATTGGAGATTGGAGTGGAGAGTTATTCGTCTGGTTTGGTGAGGAATATTTTCAATTTAGTGCTATAGTTTATATGGTATTGCCTTTGGTTTTATTTAATTGGGCAGAAATGAAAGGTATTATTTAGTTGAGATTGTTGGAAATGTATGTTGCTTCCTAGAATTCTTTTTTCACGAGGCACATTTCTTATTTGAATGTTATTGTTTGTTTTTTGTCACAATGTGAGGATATTTCATTGGGAAAGATTTGCGTGCATGCCACAATTGCTATTCACATGTCTAGTACTTATATTTCAAGTTTTACAAATGTATAATACCTGTTAATGAGGCGTATTAAAGTAAAGAGTTAATATGATGGTCATTTAGGTGTTTAAAAATTTAGCTTAGAGGTTAGATATGTAAATATATAAGAATTAGGTGGTATATATGTCAACCTTCTAAGTATAAATATCCTTAAATATAAGCATAGCAATCATATTATAATTATTTGGCATCCTTGTAATGAAAACGTGCGTTAACATAACTTTTTTCTCATGTATATATAGGCATTTACATGCATATACCACCAAAATCTTTCATTTCACATCAAAAATATTACTATTTTAACTTTAAAAAGTGAAAAAGGCCTTTTTCATGCATTAGTGGCATAAACATATATGTAAAAAATAAAAGTTTAGGTGTTAGATTATGTAAATAGAGAGCTACCATGATAAATTTTATATGTGACATGTATATAGAATTAAAATACCATGAGGCCCATATGTGACATGTATATAGAAATTAAAAATAATAAAATTAAAAATTGAAATAGTATGTGACATGTATATAGAGAGCTACCATGAGGCCCAACATAAAATTAAAAATAATAAAATTATAGCCAGACAAGGAAAATATTTTAAAATGTATGCCACAACTTTGCCAGTTTCATGAGGCCTAACATCTTAACTCAAAGAAATTCGAAAAAATAATACAATGCTTTTGTACTGCAAAAAGCTAATGTTAACGTGCAGATTGTGCTGCTTGATCGGCCAGACTCCTTGCCAGCATGTAAGTCCGTGTGTTTAGATTCTTCATAGTCTCTATTAATTGTTCATATCTGAAAACATATTTGTAGAATCAGCCTCACCTTATATTAATTCCAAATCTAACTCAAATTCAATCATCTTCAAAGCACTTGAAAGAAAGAATACCCCCGTATATGTATATCGACGCTAACTTCATATGATCTGGTAGAACTAAATTTACAAATTGAAATAGGGGCATTTACATACACACCACCCAATCCTTATGTATTTACATATCTAACACCTAAACTTTACGTTTTACATTCACACCGCCCAAATCTTTCATATCACATCTAAAATACCACTACTTCAGAAATATTGCTTTTTCAGTCATAGGTGAGATGAAATATATTTCGGTTTCGGATATATAAATACATAAGAATTGAATGGTATACATGTCAATCTTTCATTGACAAAAATCTGTGGTTTCAAATTAAGTTCTAAGTCGAAATCAATTAGATATCAACCCAAGACGAGAGTTTATTCCTGGAATCACTCAGCAGCATCCATATTATAATAAAGATAATCAAATTGTTGCATTAACAAGGCACACAATTATTCCTATTTTTAGATGATGATGATGGCCAGTCTCAAAAATTGCAAATAGAAGGAAAGAAGGGGCTAAAAGAAAAAGAAAAAGACAAGGAAGATTAGCTTACACGTTTACACTGCTGGTCTCCATTAGAACAGTCCCAGAAACGGAATCAATCTTAGCCTCTAGTTTTGCATTTTGAACAAGATTAATAATCCAGTGCTCTGCCTCACCATAATTCATGTTCAGCTTCTCTGCAAGCATGCTGTTACAACAGAGCTTAAATTAGCAGAAAGGTAACCATATAAATGTGTGTGTGTATGTGTGTTAGAATAGAACCACGATAAATTTTATTGATACAAAGAGAGAATAAGAAAGAAAAAAAATAAAAAGAGGGGAATTACAAGATCTACTAGTAAGAAAAGAAATAAAAATAGGATACAGGAAAAAAGTAAGGGAATAAAAAAGAATCGCAGCTAACAACTTAGAATAAACAGGATTTAATAATGGCTAACTAACCATTATTAAATAATCTAATACTCCCCTTAGGTTGAAGCATAAATGTCAGTCATGTTCAACTTGAATTTGAAATCATCAAATAGTAGCTGAATAATTCTTTGTGACAATATTCATCATCTAGCCACCAAATGGCACAAATAGAATACAAATATCTCCGGACTCGAGCTTTTCCTTAATGAAGTGTCGGTCAAGCTCAACATGCTTAGTGTGGTCATGCTAGACCGGATTGTGAGCAATACTAATGGCTGCCTTGTTATCACAGAACAACTTTAGGGGAACAGAGGTACAGAGGATGTCATACGTAGTTCGTGGAGCATGATGCATAACCATAGAGCTTCACAAATTCCCAGGGACAGACTGAAATTCGGCTTCCGCACTACTCCAAGCAACCACGGAGTGCATCTTGCTTTTCCACGTGACCAGGTTTCCCCACACAAATGAGCAGTACCCCGACATAGAACGCTGATCATGGACGACCATGGCCCAATCAGCGCAGCGTAAATTGCAATAAATGAGGTGTGACAGAAAAAAAAACAAACTAAGCTTGGTGTATCTTTTAAATAATGGAGAATTCGGTGGAGAGCTTGGAGATCATGCTCGCAGGGATCATGCATAAATTGACTGACTATCCCAAACAACGTGGCAGAGGTCGGGGCTTGTATGGGCAAGGTAAATGAGTTTCCCCATAAGGCACTGATAGTGAGTTTTGTTTACAAGAACTGCATTGAGAACATCAAAAGGTTTTTCATTGAGATCCATTGTGACAGCCACTGGTTTGCACAAGAGAAGATTGTTCTCTGTCAAAAAGTTAATCACATATTTCCACTAAGATAGACAAATGCCCTGAGATGACCGAGCAACTTTCTTGCCTAAGAAGTACCGAAGAGAACCAAAATCCTTCATTTCAAATGAACCAACAAGAATGTCTATCAGAGACTTCAATAATAGTAGATCATCATCTGTAAGAACAATATCGTTGACATAGAAGATAAGAATAGCTACCTAGTCGCCGAAGGAAATGTCGGAAGAAAAGAGTGTTGTCCAGTTGAGCCTGAGTAAATCCATGGCCTACCACCACTTTTGTGAACTTCCCAAAGTATGCCCGTGGTGATTGCTTCAATCCATAGAGGGACTTTCGCAACTTAAATATTTGCCCCTGAGAGGCAGTGGAGTTAAAGCTCTGAGGAAGAGCCATGTAAACCTCCTCTACAAGATTGTCACTCAAGAATACATTCTTGACATCAAACATGAATAAGGGAGAATCCAGATGCACTGCAAGGGATAATAAGACCCAAATGATTTTAATTTAGCAACTAGAGCAAATGCCTCCTCATAGTCTAACTCCGTAGGTATGTGAGTACCCTTTGGCGAACAATCGAGCCTTGTTGCGTTCAAAGAATCCATCAAATTTAAACTTGATAGTAAAAATTCATCGACATCCCACTGCGTTCTTGCTCCGAGGAAGATCAACAATGTCCCAAGTATGGTTTCGCTGAAGGGCATTCATCTCTTCCATGACAGCAGCTTTCCGGGTTGGGTTTTGCTAAAGGAGCAGGGCAAGGAACACTATCCAAGAACTCCAGCTCGCCCTCACTGGAGGTCGATTTAGGAAAGTAGGAAACACTTTCAAATAAAGAATACATTAGCACTCACATAGACCTTATTTGTGTAGGGTCAAGGCATCAATATCTCTTTTGAGTGGCAGAGTATCTGGGAAAACACATTTTATGGACCTGAGATCAAGTTTACTTCGAGTCGAGGTCGTGTTCCGAACGAAGGTTGTGCACCCAAAAAATTTTTGGATCTAAAGTGGAGAAGACCCAATTGTTAGGAAAGCGCGATCTTAAGACGGCTGAGAGGGTTCAAAAGTTGTGAATTTTTTAGGGAAAACTATTGATAAGATAAGTGATGATAAGAATGACATCATTCCAGAAATGTTTTGGGACATTCAATTGAAACATAATGGAACGAGTCACGTTGAGTAGATGTCGATTTTTTCTCTCGGCTACCATATTTTGTTGAGAAGTGTTGATACACAAGCTATGATGGAGGATGTCCTTACTTACCAAAAATTCTCCTAATATAGAGTTAAGAAATTAGCGACATTGTCAGTCCAAATGACTCAAATAGAAGGTTTGAATTAGGGCAAAATGAAGGCGTGAAAATTTGTGAAAGTAACAGCAAATTTAGATTTATCCTTTAAAATATAGACCCACGTCATCCAAATATGGTCATCAATCAAAGTAAGGAACCACAATTTATTGGTATAACTGAGAGTGCGAGAGGGTCCCCACGAGTCACTATGAATAAGAGAAAATGTAGCCAAAGACGTGTAATTGTCAGGTAGATAAGGAACACGATGATACTTAGTTAACTCATAGGTTTCACATTTGAAATTAGAAGGATTTTAACTAGTAAAAATCAACGAATACAATTGTTTTAGATACTGAAAATTAGGATGACTCAAATGATATTGTAACAATATAATAGAACATTTAGTGGACTAAGATAAACTGTAACTACTGAGTGGAGTGTCTTTATTCTTCATATTTTTCTCTTGAAAGAAGAAGAGCCTGCACACCCGCTTAGCAGTTCCAATTATCCTTCCCGAACAACGATCCTAAAAGACACGTACATCAAAGGAAAAATGAGCAATGCAATCAATGTTATATGTCAACTTACTGACAGGTAAAATGTTACACTTCGCAGAGATACATGTAACACAAATTCCAGAGTTAGACCAGTTGTTAAAACAACAAAACCTTTACCAGCAATGAAATTTTGAGACTCGTAAGCAATTTTAACTGTATCTTTCCCTGAGCAATGATAGTATGTCGAGAAGGCTTGAGAGCTTTCAGTCATGTGGTTCGTGGCACCTGAATTAATGATTCATTGACTAGATGGGGCATGTGGTCCGTGGCACCTAAATCAACCATCCATGAACTAGGAGGGGCAAAAGAAGTGAGTGTCGTAGGATTGCTACCTTGACGAGCGTGAGAGATGGACATGGCGGAAGAGAGTGGACTGGATCCAAGCAGCTTGATTAAGCGCTCAATTTGACTTTTAAGAAAATTAGAGGGTTTTTTATTGTTTTGGGTAGAGGTTGGTTGTACCGAGTTAAATTCAGATGTTGTAGCAAACCATTGGCAATGGAAGATTTGGTCGAAGGTTTGGATGCAAGTTTCCAGTGGAGCTTCCAACACTTATCACGAGTGTGGTTGGATTTGTGACAGTAATCACAAGTGGGGAGACCAGCTCGGGGTTGAGTACTTTTAGAGACCAAGGTGGATACTTCGACAGATAGAGTGGAAGCCACCAAGCATGACAAGTCTCTGGCTCTCTTCGCAATGAATCTTAGTGAAAGCAATGCGAGTAGATGAAAGAGGATCTCGACAAAGGTTAAGGCCCCGAATTTCGTCAAAAATTTTGCTGAGGCCTGCCAGAAATTGGAACATGTGGTGGACTGTCGTCTAGAGGGCACTAGCGGAAGAAAGAAACATATATGATCGATCAATCGAAGTCTCTATAGAGTTAATCAACCATGACATGATCATGAAATTCTTCACTTCCCAAGCTCCATATGTTGGATCAGTCTTTAGAGGTTCATGAATCATACAAGTGAGATGAGCAAATTTCCTACGACCTATGATGAACAAGGACACAGATTGGGACCATTAGAGAAAGTTATTGTTGTTTAGTTTATGGGTTGTGATCAAGAAGTTTTTGTTTTTTTCATGTCCTCCGGTCTACAGAGGAACGAAAGTTGGAATTGATCCTCCGATAGAATGAAGGACATCTTCTGGTGACGCCTAGTGCTAGAGGAGTTCGTCATGATTCTGATTGAGCTAAACGAGATGTTATGTTGTTAAGATATCGTGAGGTTTCGGCTGTTGGAGGAATCTGGCCTCTCAAAGAAGTTTTCGCTGTACTAAATCTCTTGGACAGTTGGAAGAAGGTTCCAGGAGGGGCTCCGACAAAACTGGAGGGAGACCAGACAGTTAGGTAGGGTTTTCGACGGCTGGAAGGTGCCTTGGGTGATTAGAATAAAGGTTCTGAATGGGCATCCGACCAGTAGGGAGGTGAACTGCTAGTTGGGAAGAATCACGAAAGAATTGAGAGAATTTCTCCAGAAGAATCGCGGGAAGAGTGGGCGGGCAGAATTAGAGTAGGAAATCCCGCTGGGCAGCAAGGGGAACCCAGGTGGGAAGAATCGCAAAGAGAATGGCAAATATCGATCAAGCCCGTTGAAAGGAGATCTGGTTGGCTGAAGCAAGATCCGGCTAGCTAGAAGATTCGACCGCTGCTAGAGTTAGAACCATGACTCTGATATCATGTTAGAATAAAACTAGGGTAAATCTTATTGATGCAAAGAATAGTATAAATACCCATTACAAAATTTGCTAATAAGAAAAGAAATAAAAACAACATATAGTAAAAAAGGAAAGCAACAATAAAGAATCCCAGCTAATAACTCAAAATAAACAAGAATTAATAATGGCTAAAACTAGTCATTAATAAATATCCTGATATATAT